TTGACATATAAAAATTTTTAGGCAACACCTAATGTTTTTATAAATAATTCACAAGCAGGATTCTGTTTCTCAGCAGATCTAAAATTATGCAAATGATCTGTAATTTTTATAAAGTGTGCATCAAATAAAAATACTAATGTAACAGTTTTATGAAATTTATTAGGTTATAATTTTTAGAATTAGATTTTAATTCTTTATTTAAGACAAAGCAGTACTTGCCATAGTTGTTTCTAGATTAACTATGGCAATTCTTTTGGCATTACACAGCACAATGAAATTATCAGTACAACTTTGACTGCATAATTAATAATATAGTAACTATCACCAATATAACTTCATAAATACACATATAAAATTTTATGGAAAACATTCGAGACAATAACTGCATAAAAATATAAATTAGTACAAAATAATAATATGCATTTTGTTTCTTATGCAAAAATGGAACACAAACAGCTATTTTATTTTAAAATAAAAATAGTTACTTCAGCAACACACTTTTTACAGGAAGTGGTTGTGTACTGATGTTAATCTCTTATCTGTTAACATATCAGTAATATCTGCTATCTGTCAACATATATAGGTATTTAAATATAGAGCATTTAAAAATCAGATCAATTTTGATTAAACAAAATTGCATTCAACGGTAGCAAAGAATCCAACTCTATAAGTTCTAGATTGCTTCAAAGTATCCTCTGAGATTATTGAGAATTCATATCACATGCACAAAACTTTTAATAATTAGATTTGGCAATTACAGAGCTATTGCTTCCTAACAAGCAAATCTGTAGAAGAAATATATGAAATAATATCAGTTGAAATGGTGTAGTTCATCTGAAATGAAGTTAAAAACACTTTTCAACAATTAGAGACGTTACTGCGTTTTGGGCAAAGGCATTCCTTAAGAACATACCTTTATCATATCCTAAGCATCTTATTTCCTCAGATGGCCCAGCTGTTTTCTCTTATTAAAAAAATTCTTATTCTATGGTGGTAAACATTTTCACACAATTTAAGCTATCAAAAACAATACAATGGTCTATAAAATGGCATTCTCCCAACTGTGTTTTGAGGGATGTTAATCCAAAGGTGACTATTATACTTCACATTTCAAACAAAAGTGTCCTACAAGCATGTTAAGTGCATTTTCTTTTTGTGTGAAAGAGAAGTATTTCATTACACTTATACAAACTGCAAAAGTGTTCCTACTAATGATAATTAAGTCTGCAGTTATAACTAGGTTCAGAAATTGACAACAATAAATATGGAAAAAGCATATTTGCTACTACCATGACGACAAGAAATTTTTACTTATTCATAAATGTTTATGACAATAAAGAAATAAATCAATAAACATTGCAACTTTCCACACCATCTATTCATGATTTTAAATGAATATACTTAAATCAATTATATAACTTATATACTATATCACAATTCATGCAACATTTTTAAATGCATATATTATTGCACACCTGTACAAAAAGTATGAGGGAAGCAGTCCTTAAAAACAATTCTATATTATATGCAAGATGCGTAAATTTTATAAAGTTTTTGTTAATATCATAACAATTTCTTTTAACTTAAAACTACTTTTAAAAATTTAGTTACACTCATACTCAGTTACTTGGAATTCTTATTACTAAATGAAGCTCCTTGCTTACAAAAAATTAGTTTGACAGTTCTGTTATAAGAATGGCCTCAATGTGATACACCAATAGAATTACCAACTGAAATTTAACAATATTAAATAGCAACAATTAGTAAACAATTCACATTTAATTTCTTGTCTTGGTAAGTGGATGAGGTTTTTGGTTGTTCCTTACCTTGCTTCTGATTAGTTGATAAAAAGGTTTGCATCTACAGTGCTACAGAAGTTACAGATAGTCAGATGTTGGGTTCCACATGGAAAGAAATCACATATTATTTAGGTGCATGTCATGCAGTATTTGTCAAGCATCCTTGACTTGAGTTATGCCCTTCGCTTAAATTGCTGGTTCGAAACAAATGCTGCTAATATATCACTTTCTTTACTATCTGAAAGCTGGGTGATGCAGCTAAGTTTTAGCTCCTGTATTACATTATTAAATGGCATGAAGTGTTATATAAGCATTTAAATGCTAAAAAACTGATGTATCACTTGTAAAATAGGAATAATAATGACAATTTTATGCATGTTAACATTCAGATTACAACTTAGCCAATGAGTTAGCAAAGCTAAACCTATTTCTATTTTTTTTTAATCAGGTAAAACACCGAACGTCATTATATTCATCATTATATGAATTAACATCATATCATAAATAATTCATCCATTATATCATATATAATCATCATTATATTATAGCATATATAATTAACTACCTAATATCATTATATTTAGAGAAAACATAAACATATTCAACAAAAATTTTAATTGCTCATATACATGTATGTATGTATGTATGCAAAATAATAAGTATAATATATAAACTATTTAGCATGTGAAAAAATGCTTTTGAATATTATAATACTATGTATTAAACAAAAAGAATAATTGGAGTGAAGATAATTTACAAATTATCTCTAACAAAAGATAAAAAAATGAAGATAATGAAGAACTAAAATAGAAAAAGATGTAGATGAGTTGATTCTAGTGAAGGCTCTTACTGCATGATTATGTAATGAAAACAGTAATTTAGCATATCAATAATACTTAGATATTAGGTACACCTACTCACCTACCCATGATTCTGATCACCTGAAAGTGCTGCAACAGCCCTGACAGCAGTTTCAGATTGTTCTGGAAAGATTATGATTTAAATTGATTTATTTGACTATGGTAAAGCAAGCTAAAGCTATTTACATAAGGGGAAGAGATGCCTTTGCGAGTAACTTTCCAAAGGAAACTGTTTTATTCACATTACACATGGTGAAAACCATGAAAATGTGCATGAATCTGGCCTGTTCACCTGGAATCAGACCCATATGAAACTAACGGTGCTCAGCAACTTTACCGCTTTGCTGCGGGTGGGCCCTTCAGGAAAGATGCAATTTTTATATTTCTTTTGCTTTTCATCTTAGTATTTCTATGGCTAAAGAGGGTTGGCAAGATGGCTCCCCTTTTTTGTTTGCTTGTTTCCACATCAGAGCAAGTATCTATATGCATTGAATCTCTTTTTTTGTACGGAAGGGTCACATTTCTCTAGTGGAAAATTTGCTGATCTGATGTTAATTTTTATTGCAGTTCGCATCTATCGCATTTGCCAAGAAATGAAGCAGAAGCGATATATTATTTCTCGGCATGCAGTATTTTACCAAAAAGTCACAAGTGTTCTATCTCACATGCAATGAAACTATATGAAGAAAAATGTACACTTATTCTCCCCCCCCACCCCAAAAGGAGGGACAGTTCAATATCTCCTGTTTTCAGGGCCGATCAAGGAAATACAACTTGCATTTTTCATACCTCGAAAGTGTGACTTAGGATATATATTAGATTTATACATAGCATAGTTCTAATACATGTATTTTGGCCCCAAATCAGACTTATCTGAAATGATATGACAATTTTTCCTTTATATTTCCAGTCTACAACTTAAATTATGCTTCAAAAATCCGGTGTGAAATTTAATACAGAAATTTACTTTGCGCCAAGAATAATTCACTTGGCGAGCTTCTCAAATTTCTTTTTCATTCTGCACAAGCAGAAAAAATTATCGTTTTTGCTTTCTTGCACATATTTTTACTTTTTATTACATATTTTAATCACACTTGTTATTTTTAGACATTTATTTCTTTTTAAAATTTCATTTTAAATCTTTGAGTAGCTTGGTTGAATTATAATTCTTTGAGTTGTTATTTTAAAAACTTCTGTTTGTTCATTCACATGGTATGTTTATTCATATATATTTTTAAAATTTTTATTTTATTTATTTGAATAACATTTCTTTTGAAAGAATACTTTGTCACCCAGCCCTTCCCACCAGTTGCCAAATGGTAAAATCGCTGAATACTGGTAGTTCACACCTGGGTTCAAATCTAGGTGAACAGACTGGCTGCATAGACGTTTTCATAGTTTTCCCCATGTGTAACATGTATACGAGCCAGTTTCCCTTAGAAAGTCCTTCACGAAGGCATCCCTCCCCTTAGGCAGATAGCCATTGCATGCTTTGCCAAAATAAACTAAATCAACCATTACAATACCTTTGGAAACTGCATTCTGCTATAAACGGTATTCCACAGTTTTATCACTGTGCCATTGTTTTACAGAATTTTACCATCTTACATTAAGCTTGTTAAAATAGTATCCATATTTCTGAGTACATTCAAATTTTTAATTTTTTAAATCACATAAATCAAATAGCATAACATAAAAAAGACTAAATTTTATGCAAATAAATTAATAAATAAATATTTCATTTTCTTTATGCCTTAATTTTTCTTCTTAATGGCTTACTGCCTCAAGAAAACCTTAATACCTTTATGATTATGATAATAATCTTAATATCTTTTATGATCTTTATGTTTTATAATACTCTTTATAAATTAAAAAAGCTTTTCATGTATTATTAATAAATATTTATAAATGTATTATAAATAAAAATGAAAATAAATTCCCCATGAATGATCTTCAGTCATAGTTTATTTGGAAATTTAAAGTCCAAAATAACTGTTGCAATTCATCAGAGATTATGACAAACTGCATAAACCACATTTGGCATTATTATTGTTTACAGAAAACATACCAAATTTCAAAATGCGGGAATATAAATTCACAAATTATCTTGGGAAATTTTGAATAAAAAACTAAATTTTTGCAGTTATGCCAAGAAATACATCTATTTAGAGATTATGGCAAAATTTTTATAGGTTATTATTCAAATTCAATATATTTATAGGTTGTAAAAATTATTTAAAAATACAAATTTTAAAAATAAATCTAAAACATTTGCAAATTTCACTTCGATTGAACCTATATTTTGAATTCTGAAAGAAGAAATCAAATATGTTTCATAAAAAAAAGAGACATTAATAAATATATACCAAATTCAGTCAATATTGAGAAGCTAAAATTTTGAGACCTAATTTTTTAAAAACTACTTGGGCAATTTTTACAAAACTTGGCTTTTTGACATAATTTGAGGTATAGAATTGACATACAGGAATTAGAATACATAAATCAAATACATATCCTAAGTCGCCCTTTCAAGACAACACAAGCTGAATTTTATCAACTGGCTGAGTAGAACAGGAGCTAGAAATCTCCCTTTTTTTATTTGGTGTACAATGAAAATGTGATGTTAGTAACTGCTAGCAAGAAGTTAGAATATGAATTAGGAATTGTTTCAATGGAAATCACTTGTCTTCTTATTAAGCAGAGTTCAGAAGGCATGAACAGAAAGTTGGCAGTCTATGAGTGGGTGCCAACTAATACTCATCTATCCAAAATTTAGCATCTAAATTAAAATATGGCACTTTTTTTCAATAAAGCACAAGTTATGCTTGATAAAATTGATAAATTTAAGCATAAATTGTGTACCATAACAAATACATTACAGAATAATTATTTTTATGCAACATTTTGCCATATGTGACAAAGTAATTAATCAACAAATCTTCATAAAAATATCTTGCAAGTAGAAATTTAAACTGCTTAAGAAACTGGATGAAATAATGGGCTATACAGTTTTTAAAATATATGTTCATCTTAAAGATATATATAAATGGTGTGTGTGTGAAGAAAGACTACATATGCACACATATAGGATGCCCTCCCCCCAAAAAAATTTCAACTTTTCTGCAAGCTCTTCAAAGGAAAAGACTTAAATTCATCTTCTGATGAGGACACAGATAACTCTCCACTAGGCATTTGCAAGGGATACTTTCTGTACCTTCTCCTTCTGTTGCATAAGATTTGTTCATTTCGACAAGAACAAGAACAAGAGCAGAACATCACCAAAAGGAAAGATGCAAGGCACAATGAGGTGATAATTCCAAGTACTATAATACAGACATACCATTTTCTAAAAAATATGAAAAAAAAAAGGTTAATTTTTATAGCATTTGGTCTTAAAACTATTAAAAGAATCACATGTATGAAACAAGAAATTTTAATATCACATGCATGTAATAAAATTTTAGAAGATTTAGTTGTTTTTTATGTCATTTTATAGTTAAAAAATGAAATTATAATTATGTATCATACACTATTTTTTCATAAACTTGGTGATTTAAACTTTTGTTAGGAGTGTTAACATGTTCTTACTATAATTATAATGCACAATTTAAACTGCATAATTATAAAGAAGTTTTGATGAATAATATTGAAAATATAAATTACTGATTAAGGTTACATTATAAACTTTACAATAAACACTAAGGTCATAATTTACACTTAACAACCTGTCCCCAAACAAACTTAAATTTCACATGCTTGTGTCACTGGTCTTAATGTAAAACTGTCAACAAAATTTGTAACAAACTAAACAAATCATATTCTGGCATCCCAACAGAGTTCTGACACAAATATCACCACAGAGTTAAACAGAGTTAAAATACAGGAAAACAGAGTTAAAATACTGCAGGCAGTACTACGCAAGTAATCTAAAATAACTAATAAAAGAAATAAACTTATTCCCATCCATGAACTATACTATGTGCTAAAAATTGCAGTAAATTTAGTATGAATAATAATAAAAAAAGGGGGGGGGGGAATTCTAATCTTTCCAGATGGTGGAGCACTACAAGGGAGTTACACCTGACAGTAGAATACCATTCAAGAGTCGTGCTTGAATTTCTCACTGCAGCTAATTCCAAGCTGTGTAGTTAAGCTGCTTGGTGTTACTACAAATAGACAAGCTGTTATGGCTGTAACTGCTACCATTCTAGAAAGCCCAATATTGGCTTTACTCTTATGTTTCCTTATTGTTAAATTTAATAAATGTTATGTTTGTTGTTACAGAGTTTTTTGTGGATTATTCTATTTCTAGGTTCAATCATATGAATAGAAGGCATTGGAAGCAGAATTATCAAATACGATTACATATAAGTTTAAATACTTTTTCATAGCGTTCGATTATTCATTGTGTTTTACTTTTTGTATAAAATGAATGAGGCAACTGTTAAAAGGCTTCATGACCACGGTAAGGTATTGTTAACTAGAATGCATAGTACATATAAAGAAAATTTGTGTAAAAATGATCTAGTACTTAAGATTCAGAAATTTGACTGAGTCTGGAAAATGTTAGATGAAGATAAAGTATTTCATGGTCAAAACACTTCAGAGCATTAGATAAATTTACAGAAAGTTCTTGTGTTAATCAAAAATAGTGATGTAAAGCTTCCACAATTAAATATTAATTATTCTCAAGGAAATTATCAATATTGGCCTTCATTTAAGAATTTGTTTGTATCAAAAGTTTGTAATAATCAATCATTACCTAAATTTCAGTGCTTGGAAATGAGCTAGAAAAAATTTATAACCAAATATGAAGAGCTCGGTCACATAAGCCTAGTTAAATCACAAATTGGTTTATCTAAAAATACATATTATCTTCCATATCATTTAGTATTTCAGCCGAATAATTCTATGACAAAATTCGTGTGGCATTGCATGTTTCATGTACATCTACTAGTGGGAAGTTCTTAAACTCTACATTATATGTAGGTCCAACTATCCAACATGATGTATTGTTGGTGCTTACAAGTTTTAAAACACATGCTGTAGTATTTATAACTGACATTGTCAAAAGGTACCTGCAGATTCCTATATCGGAAGAAGCCAGAAAATTTCAAACAATTATATGGCACAATAGCTTGAAAGGCAAAATATGGGAGTATCGACTAAACAATTTAACTTACAATATGGCTCCTTCTTTATTTTTGGTAATGAGGTGTTTGTAAACAAATTGCCAAAGACTGTGAAAACGACTTACCGCGTATCTCTGAGATAATAAGAAATCATTTCTACATACATGACCTTTTATCTAACTTGAACCATACTGAGGAGGCTTTTGAAATGTGTAGTTAGTTACCTAAGGCATTGGAAGCTAGAGATTGTCATGAAGAAAGTGGTGAACCAATTTGCCTTTCTCTAAGCCAATACTTGTTGAACTGCAGACCTGGTTCATCTGATCTGAAACTTAGGAATGTTCTAAGATCTTAGGCTTATACTAGTACTCAAATGTCAGATGAATTTGTGTTTAGGACTTTCTTGGCTGGCAAAGAAAACCTCATAAATTGAAAAATGTTGTCACAGTCAGCAAAGATTTTTGACCCTTTTGGTTTGCTACCACTGGCTATGATAATGATGATGATCAAGTATTTGGCTTTCTAACTTTCCAAGCTTTGGATTTCTAACATTTACTGGGATGATCTAATTCCTAATTGTATTGCTGGAAAATGTGATTCAGTTTCAGAGGGAATTTCAAGCTGTTGAGTTCAGAATGTGTGTACGTAGTAGTGATTTAAGTAAGTATTTTAGGTGCAATGACTAAAGTTGTTCCTATATTAGAGCTAAGTGCAGTTCATTTACTATCAAAGCTTGTTAGGTCTATGAGGAATATTTTGAATAATTGCAAAATTTGAAATCTTCACATAGAGCAAATCTAAGGTTGTACTAACATGGTTAACACCACTTTCTCGTAGATGGAAAACTTTCATCACTAACTGTACGTCAGAAATCATAGAAGTTTTGTTGAGGTTTCATTGGAATTATGTTTTATGGAATATAGTCTAAGAGCTCTTGCTACTACAAGCGTTTTCCCAAAGGGCTTTGTAATAAATCAACTGTAATGGCAAGGTCCTAAATGGCTGAAAGAAGCCCCTTCAGCTTTTGCCAAGTTCTGAACTACCCACTATCATTGATGATCAAGGTGCAAGGTCTGAAGAAAATATCAAAACTATATTTTCATTTCACACTGGTTTAGAAAATGAAACTTTGGGTACACTTTTAAATAACATATCTTCCTTATCAAAAACTGTTCCAATTCTATGCTATTGCAAAAGATTTATCAAAAATTTCAAGGTACAAAATTGTTTGTTTTAAGTTCTAAAGTTATATGTTACTTTATTTTAAGTTCTAAAGTTATATGTTACTTTAATTATTTATTACGATAAATAAAACTATTATTTACTTATTTATTAAGATAAATAAAATTTAATTATTTATTAAAATAAATAAAATTATATTTTTATTTACTTTAATTATTATTTATTTATTACGATCAATAAAAAAGCTAAAGTTCACCCACTACTTGCTAAATCTACAATTGTTACAATCAAAATTCAAAGTTTTAAATACTATGCGAACTAAAATGTAAAAATGCTGCATTATGCTTTTCAGTGGGAGACTATCTTTCGTAGCAACCACTGCAAGTTCACATGGGACAGTTAGCTCTCATGTTCTTCATTTAAACAAATGGTCTGTATTGCAAAAAATATGGAAAATGTTTTGTTGTTGTCTGTCCTGAGAACTACTTTCACCAGCTTGTCTAACCCGAGGTGGGCACTACAGTAACAGACTTTATACATTTCAAGTATGAGTTAGGTTAAAGTTACCTGCCATTTTGTTTTGGGCCAGTGTTGGTCATGAGAAACACCAAGCAGTGTCATAATGAATATTTTACCAAAAGCAAAAATCAAAATGAGAAAATGACGATTTGCCATTAAGTGCATCAAGATGGCAAACTTAAATGCATTTTTTTTTTAAGATACTTCTCTGAAAAATAGGTTAGGGCTTATTTTAAAGGCAACAGACAGCATTGTGGATATACCATCAGGTGATGTTCTTGTGATAGACAGACAGCAGTTTCTCCTGAAAATGTTGCTGTGCCTAGATTTTTGTGTTAACTTGGAAATCATGAAAAATATTTTATGACTTCATTAATGAATATTTTACATCTTTTATTTAGTTACATACAAGAAAATGTTTACTTCACAGCATTTTCAGCATCTTAATTCTATAATCCCACTAATACTATCCTTAGTAATAACAGCAGAACTAAAATTTAGAATTTAACTTAGCCATAATCCTCAGTACGTTTGAATAAGATTAATAATCAAAAGTTAATGAAGAAATGTATTTTTTGCCATCTTGGTTTAAATTCTATGTTTTGCTGATTTTATGAGAATCTGAGTCCTAAATTTTAAAGATTTTATTCCATCTTCAGGAACAAGGAAAAATATTACAATTAACAAGATTAATGTGATCGATTCTGCTTGTATCCCTTGAGAAAAAATGATGAGTTTTAAATCATGTTTGTTATAAAAAGTAACACGAAAAATGTCTTTAAATTTGCTTCACTTATTTTATTAGTATTGTTTAGCTTTAAGACAAAACTTAATGAATCGAACCTAAGTAGCTACATGAATCACTAGTTTTAAAATCACAAATTACAAAATCTACACAAAATGACAGTATCTTATGACATTATTTTGCATTATTACTACATATATCAAGTTCCTTTTTAATTATATTTTTATTCATACCTTCTTTCTTCAATATTATCTTTGACTAGGTGTTGTTTCTGAATAATACTTTTTGCAAGGCAAACAGAAACTGCAAAACAGTAAGAACATGAGAAATGATACAATATAGTTTACAAATGTGTATATCACTTACAAAAAACAATCTTTCATGAACATGCAAATAGGATTGTTTATTTACGCTGATTTTTATTCCTCATACAACACAACTAAAAATAATTTACATATGCAAAAAATCATTAAATGTTTGCCATCTTATAATAGAAAATAATACAAAGAGTTCTGAAAAGATATTATAATAATAAGAAATTCGCACTTGTGTGCTATCATAGTACAAGTGGCAAGAATAAACAACTACAAAATGCAAAATCCATGGTTTGGATTCTACCACAAGCACAATTGATTTCTCATGTTTCCTACAATTAAAAAAAAGAAAGAAACCTGATAGAGTCTCTATAGTTATATCAGGAAGTTATCAATCAAGCTTAAAAAGCCCACACCTACAATGGCAACTGATGGTAATCATGGTGGTAACAGTAATAACAATGCTAATTAATGAGTTAATTTCAGTCTTTCTAATTGGATCATTCCTAAAATAATCTAAGAACAAAAACTTAATTAAATAAACATTTTAAGCTAATTAAATAGATTTTATGAAGCCGAAAATTTATAGAAAAATCAATGCTTACATATTAGTGCAAGTACCTTCACACAGTTTGACGAATTTTACAAAGAAAAAGAATAATGGTTTATAATTGGGGGGGGGAGAGAGATTTCTTACATACAAATATACTCTTGCAAAAACTTTCTGCACCATCAAATTAACTCAATTATAGAAATACACCCAGTTTGGAGCTTTTAGCTGTCAATTTTAATTAATTTTTCCTATTATTTATTAAAACAAGGCTATTTTTTCATTTTCAGCAAATATGTAATATTTTCTAATAAAGTAATTATTCATAAATTTATTTTTTATAAAGTTCTTAAGGGCCTGCAGCATAATCACTCAGAGCCTGCACAACAACTAATATTACAGCCTTCAGATTCTCTGTACTGCACTGAATGCAGTCAAGTCCCACAAATGCAGATTTTAAAATTCAGTTTAAGGGGGGGGGATGGTGATTTGTTTATAAAAATTATTGAAATTTAGATTACAACAAAAAGTACAAATATAAAATTGGTGAGACTGGCTGTTAAAACTGCAGAATTGTCATGCACATGGTTGTTTGAAGAAATATAAAATTAATAATGCTCATAGTTGAATGGAAAATGAAATAAATGGAATATGAAATAAATATAAAAGAAATAATGCTCATGGTTGCAAAACTGGCACATTCTCAAAGTTTGGCAATTTCTACTAAAATGATTGAAAAATCTTTACAATATCATTTATTCTTAAATTAAGTTTTTAAATGGTCTAATAATATCAGTAATAATTTTAAAAAGCTCTCCAGCATTAAAATTTTATTTGATTTTAGTTAAATTTAATTAATATGCAATTAATGATTTTAAACAACAATTTAAATACAAAATTATCTTGAATTAAAATAATGATATGACAAAGTTTCATAATTACCATAATACAGACTTGAATTACGTGAAATATTACATTCACCAGTCACAGGATCACAATAACATGAATTCTCACATTGACACTTAAACTTACATTCTGGACCAAAAAAACCTTGAGGGCAAGCTAAAAGAACAGGGGAAAAAAAAAAAAAAAAAAAAAAAAAAACGGATCAAGCAGATTAAGAAACAAATTTTTAAAAAAGTGAAATTCAAAACCAATTTTTTTTAAAAATACAAACAAGATTAATGTTCTTGAAATGCAACAATCTATGTTGATTATTTCAGCTATTTCTAAATTGATATGCATGAAAAAATATCAGTACTTTTTTTATGATTTATGAAAAAATATTTGCATGGTTTTCATTAAATAATACAGTACAAAGTCTGTAATCCGGACCTCAAAGCCACAAACTTACACGTGCGTGCGCCCACTACGCATGCGTGTAAAGCATTTACCTGTGCGCACTTCTGATAGTGAAGAAGTGGCAGAGACAAAACGAAAACGAAAAAATTTCGATTGACAAGTTAGTCCATATTCTCGACACAGCAATTACAGGATTTGAACAATGGAACTTTGTAACCGAACAAGAAATTATGCCTGTTTATAGAATTAAAGAGACGGTATTAGCACAAAAAATGAAGCAACTTAAACAACTTACATTGAAAGAAATGTTTAATAAAGTAAGCAAATAAATATTAAGCTTTTTTTTTTTTGTAAATTTTGATACCCTTTAGATCATAATTGCTCTTTATTTCATAAATTACGGTTTCATATTTTTAATTGTATAATTTTTGCATGCCATCTTACCAGATTTAAATTGATGATCTATAATTCGGAAAAGCCCCTAATCTGGAATTGCTGAAGTCCCGACGAGTCCGGATTACGGACTTTGTACTGTATAACAGAACAAAAATTTTAGCAGGCATGCAAAGCCTGAATATCTTATTAAGGATTTCTTACATTCTGAAATTTAAGTTTAACTAATAGTTACTAAATAACTTTATGTTAATTTCTTTCCTATATGACATGCCTCATACTGTTACTTACTAAAGCCAGTGAATTAATCGAAATTTTATATCAAGTGGCAAAGTTTAAAACAAGGGTACAATCTCAACCAGCAACTCAGAAGAATTCTCTATTAGATTGCTGCTTATTGTAATGATTCACCCACACAGCAGAAAGTTAGAATGGCCGATGTTAGCCAAGTTCAGCAAATGTTAGAAAGTTAGTTAGTTTCCTACGTCTGACCTAATGGCGTTGTAACTCTTAATAGCTTTTGGAATTGTAATTCCCTTAATAAATATACCTTAGTGGCCAATAGCTGTAGCTGATATTCAGCAAGAAATCGCATTATTTATTTTGCAACTACTTTTTAGTTGTATTACTGTAAGTAGTAGATAATCAAGTTTTATGTCAGATTTTACCTTAAGTTTTAACTTGTGCTTCATAATAAGCATATAAAGAAGTGATACCTCACCAGCTATTAAGACTTAAATTCTTATGATCAGCTTATTTGATAAAAAGCAGTTTTAATTAGTTCAACACGTTTAAGAAGTTAAAATATCTCTGCACATGTTTTTCTTCAATAATTCTATTAGCTAAACTCAGGCTTCGCTCATGTCTCTGTTTGGACAACTTTTCTTCAAGTAGTAAACTGCTTCAATCAAACCGTCTACAGAACAGCATTGCTACAAGTACACTATAACTTTAACATCACTAGTAATGAACTGCACAGACTGCTGGTGATTGCACTGAACAGCATTAAAAGACTTCTTTGCACCAAATGAAATAAATAATTATCACTTTAAAGTTCCAACCTCCTATTTTCCAAAGGATTAAAGTGAAAAATATTGATCATAACTGTTATAAATGAAGTATGATCTTCAAATATTACTTACACATCTCACATGTGCTACCTGTAAAACCAGGCTTACATATACATTTGCCAGTAACAGGATCACAGCCATCAGAATTTTTGCATTTGCAAAGCTCTGTGCACATTTTGCCAAACCAACCATCACTGCAACCTAAAAAATGCAAAAATATACAAAGGTTGTAGTAAAGGATACATTTATAATACCTGAAAATCCCTGAAACTATACAAAAAATTTATTTGGCACACTGTGTCCCATAGGATCACTTATTTTATTAAAAGAATACATTTTTAACACACACACATACGAAAAAAGAAAAAAAAAAAAAAAAAAGACTGGAAAGGGGTTGATGATAAACCAGTTTATTTAAACCCTCTTCTTTCCTAACCTTATAATTTTAGGTCAAAATGAGATAATCGGTTTTTCTGAGATTTCCAACTGAATAACTGATATCACAATGAATTATGCCATTATACATATTTCATTAAAAAATGCTTCATAGGAAAGATGCACATAAAGATAACAGGCTTCAGATGAAAGATGAAATGTCAAAAAAGAGTTTTACCTCTACTGTTATCATTTTTCAAAATGTAAAAATTTCTGATATAAATAGTAATGCAAATGTTTGAATACACAAAGCATGGTACTGTTCTGCTATTGGGACTGGATTCAGAAATGTATGAATGTATCTGCATGTAAATGCATATATGTGTATATGTATACACACATATATATTCATGCTTAATATATACACGCATAAATGAACACCCATCCATGCATACAAAATTACATATATTTCTGGATCTGTCCTGAAAATAGAACAGTACCAGAAGCATTTATAATCTTAATTTACATGCAAAACATAATAATCTAATTAATCTTCTTTGCCAAATTTCCTCCATTTTCCCAACAGAAACAAGTTTTAATCACATGTGTACTTGGTTAAAAAATATTAAAAAAAAAAAAAAAAAAAAAAAAAAAAAAAAAAAGAAAGAAAGAAAAGAATGAAAGGTTTCCAATTTTACATTACATCTAAAGGGCTTTTTTTTTTTTTTTTTTTTTTTTTTTTTTTATTTTAACATTTTGTATGTTACCTTTAGTTATTAAATATCATGTTCTTTGCACTTAAACCATAAAATTCAGCTCAATAGCAATGTCACAAAATAATTCTAAAATGAGCATAGTTTTAGAATTTCTGATACACAGTTCCGCATGCTGGAGATAAAAAGGTTAATAATTAAGGCTAATGTACAGTTAAAATTTATTAAGATTTGAAATGAGAATGCTAGCTAGCTGTTAGCACAATTACCTTGGCACAGTTTAGAATTTTTTACAAATAAAAAAAGGAAGAATGGCTTTTAATGTTATATAAAATAAATAAATAAAAAAAGGAAGAAATGTTTATTACATATACATATATATATATTTGTCATATTTATTATAATTAGACAAGTACATTAAAATCAATGAATAAACTTAACTATAAAGCCTTTATTTTATTTATTTAGTTCTGGTGGAAATTTGCTGGCAACCCTTTTTGAGGACAGATTCAAAGCAGTTATTTCCTTCATTGATTTTGTGGCAAAATACTATAAAATCTATTACTGTTATATATTAGCAAAAAATCTGTTGCTGTATCTTTCCTTGAAGACAAATCTAACATCCACATATTTAAAATTTTTAAAAAGTTAAAACAAAATCAAGATTTGCCAATAAAAAAACCGTTGGAGCTTGACGTACAAAGAACACATAAGAAAATGGCAACATTGCTTTCTAAAATTGAAGAATTTGTTTGAGTATGGTTGCCAGAGTTTGGTGCATTCTGAAAAAATGGCGATTTTTATTAAAGTGGTTGCATTAGTAAAAAATTCGCGATTTTTACTACAGTGGTTGCATTAGTATGTAAGTACCAAATGTTTTATAACGTATCGTAACAAAGTCTTCACTAATAGATTTTGAACAAAACAGACATTTTAGAGGAGAGACAATTTTAAAATATTATTTCATGAATAGTACTCACTTTTATTACAGTCATCTCCAAAATAACCTGGATAGCAAACACAACCTTCAGAAGTACATACTCCATTTTCTGAGCAATTATTCTGCCCACAAAATAACTTATCACATTTTGGTGGCAGCCAGTTTTCTTGACAGACACACTCACCCATAGAACATTCACCATGCTCACTACAATCATTTGGCTCACAGTAAGGCGGATGTACACACAAAATTGTGCTAACTTTCCGATCACAGGCAAAATGTTCTCCAACACTAAAAATAAAAGTTATCAGATAAGGTATTTATACAGACCATTATTATTCAAACTGAGAACACCTGTGAAGGTTTTCTGTATCAGATTTCTCAAAAATTAATATATTAAAAAGCAATTAAAATGTAATCTAAAAGTTCCTACATATATATAAAAATTTAATAACCATTATATTAAACTATCTTAATTTCCCATGTTTATAGAAAATATGAACATCTTCACACTACTAAAAAGCACATTTATTATTTCATTATAGTAAAAGACAGATAAATTAATTTTGCCTCATTTTAAAAAACATTAAAGAATTAAAGCATATTTTAAGGTTTAAATTTGTTTCACAGCTGATCACATACATGAAAAAATTCTGTACACTAAAAATATGTCCATTGCAAGAACTGGTAAGTCACATATGGTATTTTACAGAAGTATAAAACTATGTTAATTAACAGGGCAAAGAACTTGATGGCTGTTTTCCAAAGTAGGAAAAGAGGGTCTTCAAAAAGAGAGTGACTTATTTGTATGATACATGGAACTAATAACAATTAACCTTTTCTACATGCCCAGTACAGGACACTTTGGTTGAATTATTGATGGACTGCAGAAGAAGTACCAATTACAGGATAGGGGGAAAAAGAGAAATAGATAACAAATGAATATCTCCCTGATATTATAAACAGAAATAAAAGCTATTCTTGATTTAAATTTCCAAAAACATGTTACTGTTTTGTTAAAATATGTAGTTATTACTAAGTAATTAAAAAAAGAAAATGATCAAGTATTTACGGCTGTTATAATACTGGAAGGGAACACTATAGGCCCAGCTTAATTCTTAACCTCACCACTGATTTACGACTGTTTCTTTCCAAACCTTCTGTTTCTGTTCAGACAAAAGTAAGGAAGAACAAAGGTTAAAACTAAGTTAGAACTTGTTATTCTTAGTTGCCCTGGCAAGTGGATTTGTATATTTCTGCACTGGCGAGACACATATGGTTACCGATCTGTGCATGCATGAAAACAAGAGTTACTGATCTGCAAAAGTGCAAGAAACAAATAGTTTAAAGGTCTAAACAGTTTTACATAATTGTACTGAAATAACAAAGCGATTTTGCATTGTAAAATATTCATTGTGATTACTAAAGTGATTTTCCATCATAAAATACTCATTATGATTCATATTTTTCAATCTTCCATCAGTAGAGAAAGAAACTATAGTTGATGTTTGAGACATTATTAGCAGCAGTTGCTGAACTATGGCCACCAGGCAGAGTCTGTAAAAAATAAATTTTATGTTTTTTAAATAAATTGCTACCCAAACTGTTTTAAATGAAATAATAAATATAATTCTCTGTATGCTTACATGTATGTTGTTGTTTTAAATCAACTGCTTACATAATTATATTACATATGATAATTGATGAAAATATATACGTATATATTAAATATGTTCTGGTGAATTATGTTATTTTATATAAATTGCTGGCAAAATTGCCTCAAATACTAAAATAAATCTAAATTTATATTTAATTCCTTCAATATGTATATATCAAATCAATTTTGGTGCATAGATATTGAATGAACTGCTGATTTATCATTTACCATAGTCACTTTCATTTTCATGAATATTTATAACATTTACGAACAGATCACACTTTCTTAAGTCTGAAATACACCAATGCTATTTTTTCTTGCCATGGCTGCTACAGAAAATAAGTATCTATAATAATAATAATACAGCTCTAATTTAGGACCAATCATATGCATTTACAACAATTTTATTAGTTTTCCTTTCCTTAGATATTTTTTATATTTATTATTATATAGTCTCGTAGACAGCAGTTATCCTTTGTGTATGAAAATGACATGACCATTTAATGATAAAATTTGGCAAAATATATGCAATTTTGAAAAGGGAATTCTGCATATTTATAAAAGCAATCTAAGTGATACATATTAACTAGGATGGTTTTAGATACCTTTAACACTGTTATTCCAGTTAACATTTATAAAGGTCTACACTAGTGATAAGATACTGCAATTACCTTCTCAATAAAATATATTTAATTCATCAATAAAGCTTTGTTTAATTTGTACCACCATATATGAAAAAAACATGATTCCAAGCCATTAGCTTAATAATGAAGTATTTTTGAAAGAATCTCAATTTAGCTTGTAGCTGAAACACAAAAAGCTAAAGAAGAAAATATCAAATTTGTATATACAACTCGGTTGGAGTTAGAGAAAATAGAGTTAGAAAAATCAAAGTTCAGATACAGCTTACTAATTTGTGCTCAAAACCAGATGCCTGAAGTGAGTCAGAAAGTAAAACTTTGCTAATAGCATTAAAAATTCCCATATAAATGAAAGCAGAATCATGGAGTTTATTTTTATTTTCACTAAAAAAACTTTTCAGTTTGAAACATGCACAAAAAGAATTTAAATTAGAAATTTTGTTAAATTTAAAAATTATTCTGTTTTTCTCTTCATACTGGAAATCATAACCTCTATCTTTCTTACAAACATATTTCACAGTTTTTAGTGGGCACATTTGTATGCAGTTTTCCTGAATTGTTCCTGTAGCATTGAAACCTTTATTTTTTAGATGACAGAGAAGCTGAAATGATGTAAAAGAGTTATCAAAATAAATAGCATGACTGGCGGGAGTTTCAAGAGCACTGAGCAAATTTATCACCCCACTTCCTCCAAGCCCAAATTCATATTCTGTTAATTTTGGATTTTGGAGCTGTCGACTTACCTGAATAAATATAGAAATGAAACGCATATCCATCAGATGACGCCAGAGTCCATGCTTTGTACCCAAATCTTATAGGTTTCCCTTTTAAAAACATCTTCGCTGAATGTTTGCCTTGATAAGGAATCATTTGCTCGTCAATACTCAGATCGTAGGAAATTATACCAAATTGTTGGAATTTCTTATTTAGTTAGTTTAGATACGGTCTCACCTTATATAATTTATCAGTATTGTCAATTTGATTATTGTCAGCTAAATGCAAATTCTGCGTACAATAGGAACAGAAATGTCCTTATCAAGAGACCAATACATTTCTTCTTGAGGTAAAGAATGATACCCTGTAAGCAATAATATTCCAATAAATCTACTCATATAGGCTTCATGCAATAAATTCTGGGCAATTTTTTTGCTGAGCGTATATATTTGTCTGTTCAATGAGAAGAGAGTAAATATCTGAACAAAACAACAAAAAAAAAAAAAAAAAAAAAAAAACGAAAATCTCTCAACTAGTTTTACTTTGTATTTTGTCTTTTATAGTTTCTCTTCTATCTCTTTCTTCCTGAGACATAACTAACGGTTCCTTTTTTATCCATCTCAAGTTTTCAGTTTTCTGCTTTTTAAACTTTTTCGTATGACTACCACTGCTTTTAGAAGGCTGAAACTTATTTCTTACGCGAATTTCAACTTCCCCAGCAGTATCATTTGGTAAAATATCATTATCATTATTTAAAATATTGTCTTTCCCTTCTTCTTCATCACTAGCTTCTGCAATTTCTTGGGGAACAATTACAATCATTTCATTCTGTCTTATTAACATTTTCAACATCTATTCAAGTCAACAACAAAATCAGCGTTATACCTACAAAATTTTCACAGGACTAGTTTCGATGGTTTTAACCGAACCATCATCTTCAGCTGCAAAACCGCAAATGAACAAGATAGGAAATAATGATTAGATAAGATAAAAAGCCTGACAAGAATAAGCAAGGCGCCATGTTGGCGAAACCAGAACTAAAACATAATTTCTCTAAAAGCCGAAGGCAAATTTGGATTGGAATTAGGATCGTTAACTAGAACAGAAAGATTTTTATGATGTGAAATGCCTCTAGAAAAGCCAGTTCTCCAATGGAAGATGTTTTTTGAATAATTTTGGCAGCAGAAAAATTGAAAGTGTGATTTTCGGACCAACAATGTTGAGCAACAGAAGACTTCTGTGTTTCCTTTTTTCTAACATATGCCTCATGTTCTTTGACGCGAAATTTTAAGGCTCTCTTAGTTTGGCCAATGTAAATTAAACCACACTGTCAAGGAATCCTATAAATACCCCAGGAATTCATGTCCGGAATGGGGTCCTTGAGTATAGAAGTTGGAATTTTATTGATGGGAGAATAAACAACCCGAAAGTTAAATTTCTGCAAAATATGTGCAACTTTATAGCTAATTGATGGAAAGAAGGGAATGACAACAGAATTTTTATAATCTCCTAAAATAAGAGTGTGGCTTTTAGTGTGTTCAGATGAGAATTTTTTAACTGCTTGATTAATAATGTTGGGTGAAAAGCCCCTGTCAATAGCTATGGCTTTTAAATAATTTAGTTCTTCATCAAGGGCTAATTTGGAGGAGCAAACTTGAAGAGCACGGAAAACATAGGAATAAAATGAAGCTAACTTTTGTTTAGTCGGATGACATGATTTAAAGTGTGGTGGAAGGCAAACCGATGAAGGATTACGGTAAACTGTAGTACTGAAGTTGGATGTGTTACGTGTGACCAAATGTCGAGAAACGGAAGAGAATTGCAAGTCTCAAGTTCAAAAGTGAACTGAATAGCAGATCAATAGAATTCATTGTTGAAAGAACTTTATTTAAATCATCTTTATTACCTTCAAACAGGGTAAAAGTATCGTCTACGTAGCGGAACCATGCCGGGAAGTTTTAAAGTTTCAAACAATTTTGATTCATAATAATGCATGTAGATATCAGCCAGGATGGGACTGAGGGGCTTCCCATGGCTAATCCCTCAGTTTGTTTGTAATATTTATTTTTGGAAAACAAAATGTGTTTGTTTCAAACAGAGTTGAGTGGAGAAATTAGCTCTTCAATTTCGATGCAGAGAAATGAAATTCGCGAAGTCTGGTTTCTAGACATCTTAATGCACCCTCCACCTGGACATTGGTGAATAATGATTTTACATCAAAAGAAACCATGAGTAAATTACTAGGAGAAATGTTTTTTTTAAACCTTTTTTACA